ACAGAATCTAGAAATAGACCCATGCATATGTGTTTAATAAATTTAGACAAAAGTGCAAGGGAAATTCATTGGGGAAAGGATATCTTTTTAACATATAGTGCAGGAACAATTGGATATCCATATGCAGAATAAACCTTTCCTTATGTTTACCTCACACTTATATAAAAATTGATTAAAAATGGATCATAGACCTTAATATACAAGCTAAAAGAAAAAACAAACAGATAAATAAATAAACATCTAGAATACAACATAGGAGAAAATTTCTGTCATCTTGGGTTAGGCAAAGATTTCTTAGAACACAAAAAGCATGAACCAAAAAAAAAAAGATATGTAAGACTTCTTCAAAATTAAAAACTTTCAAAATTAAAAGCTTTCATTAAAGTTTTCAGGAGACACTATTAAGAAATTGAAAAGGCAAGTCATAGACTAGGAGAAAATATGCATAAAATAGGTCCCTGACAAAGGACTTGTGTCAGAATGTATATTCTTACAACTGAATGATAAAACAATTAAAAATGAGCAAAAGAATTGAAAAGACAGTTTATCAAAAAAGACAGATGGCAAATAAGCACATGAAAAGATACTCATCATTATTTGTTATTAGGGAAATGCAAATTTAAACTAAAATGAGGTACCACTAACTGCCCAGTGGAATAGCTAAAATCGAAAGGGCTGAGCATAGGAGAAGTTAGGAAGGATATGGAATAACTGGAACTTTCATCTATCACTAATGGGTACACAATTGTTGGCAGCTTGAAAAACAGTTCATCAGTGTCTCATAAAGTTAAGAGATTTATATATGAGCTATCCATCTCACTCCTAGTTATTTACCCAAGAGAAGTTCTGTTCTGTAGGTACTGAGAAGGTTGTTAAGGGCAGAAGGCCTGGAGGCTTGCTTTCTGAAGATCATCCTCAGAGCCATAACTAGGCTGAGTAAGGACAGAGAGATTTGAATTATTGAGCATCACAATATCAGTAATGCTTTGGGGGAGCTTGACAAAATACAAATTCTGATTCAGTAGTTCTGAGATGGGACCCAGAAGTCAACATTTTAGTGTTGGTGACCTTGGATAACATCCTGAAAAAAGAAGAGTTAAAGAAAAGTAAATCAACCAGTAAGAAGACTATGAAAATAACATGGAATGCAGAAAGGATATTAACTAGGATTAGCTGTGGGGATATAACGTAAGGGTCAATCTTTGAAATTATTGAAAATATCTAACTACTAGAAATTGATCACTAACCCAGAAAATAAATATTACTGAAAATGATCCAGACGTTTGGACTCAGAGTTGCTGAGTAGTCATGATACCACTCAGATGGAAAACAGGGAAGAAAGCATTTATTTGAAAAACTTGAGATCGGGCTGGGACTTCTCTAAAAGCTTGCAGATGGAAACCCTTGACCATGCTCATTCAGGAGGTAAGCAGAAATGGATTTTGAAGACCTTGGCATAATAAAAAATGATACTTGAAGTTATGGAAGAAGGGGTTACATCACCAATGGAAAAATGCTTTTAAGAATGTGGTTTAAGGCCCCTTGGGGTCCACTTACCGCATTTTGAGTGAGCAGGGGATTATGAGTCAACAGCAGAAACTGAAAAGGTCAGTCAAGAAAGAGAAGCATAAATAGAAGAGTACAGTTTTCAGTGAACTCCCATAAGGGTTTCACAGATATAGGCATTGTAATTTTGTACATACTGGGGAAAAGTTGTTATGTGATTTAGCCAAGGTCAAGTGGATAATTTATATAAGCTGCCCAGATGTCAGGTAACTCTCCTGGCTGAAAGTTCAATGTTCTTTGCTTTAGGGAATGTTAAACACATATCAATGTACTAATGTCGAGTATGACACTATGAAATAATTAAAGCATATCAAATTTTAAAATAAGCAGGATTCTCTTTTTTCCATATACATGACTACTAAAATGATAATTACTTGTTTATGGTATTTTGTATTGCAGATGAGATTAGGCATGGCCTTGAATTTTTTCAGTGACTCTAAGGAAATTCTAAATAGAATGGGACTTGGCTTAATTTGTTGAGTTCTCTAGTTTAAAAGAGTGTTTTTAAATGAACGTATTCTAACTATTCCCCTGCCATTAGTATTCAGGAAACTAGGAAATGTATCCCCAGGAGAAGTAATTTTTAGTAGTTTTGTACTTGCAGATAATTCTGTGTGTTACTTTGAAGGATACTTGTATGAGTATATGAATTGGACAAATGGCAGAAAGGCAAGAAAACATTTTCTTTTCTTTTTCTTTTTTAAATATAGAACTAATGAAATAGATCTGCCTTGTGTTCAGAGTTTATGCTTTTTTACTATAATCTTACACTGATATTTTAAATTAATTGCTTTGCCTACCCTTACAATAATATTTAGTCAGCCTTTGTTCTTTCATTATTATAGTTGGAGCTAAGTAAGAAAAGGAAAAAGGCTTTCAGAACTCTGAGTCAATAGGCAGCTCAGAGAGACATGGTCACCTCCTTCCCTGATGCGTAACTTCCCTGGTATTATCTCAGTTGTAAGAACAGCAACATACAGATGTGTTGGGATTGTGTGACTACCGTAATCTCTTCAAGCTGATTTATTTTGATGGTAAAACACCTGGGTCTATATTGGTCTGCCTTTACCAAGTAATGCCAGTCAAGAAAATTAAGATTTTTTCCAGGTCATGATGGAAATTGCAATGGAATATTTTACTGTTTTCTAACAGAATACGATTCTATGCACAGGATCTGGGTGATCCAGACAGTTTCCAAGGAGTCAGATACATGTTTCAGTATACACACAAAGTTGAAGATCAGCTCTTATTGTGTTTAATATTTTGTGCATTATATTCAGCTACCCTCCCCCAAAATTCTAGGTTGTAAAACTGCAAGAATCTACTGTATTATCTCCCATGTCTTTGGTGCTAAATCAACCCAAATGAGATTTGAGTAAATTAAGAGGAAACTCTGTGTGTGTGTGCTATGGGAAGAAATAGTGGTGATTACAAGAACCATAGAAAATTTCATTGGGTTTGAATAGTATTCAGCTACATAGTAATTAGTGAGTGTTATGGAGACTGGAGCTGTAGTAGCAGGAAGTCAAAGAAGTCAAGCTGTTTTGCTCCAAAAATAAATCAAAAGAATTTATCAAGAAATTATCAAGAAGAAACTATCAAGAAAGAAATAGTTAGGTTAAGCTGAGTGGAAGTAAATTCACATTTTTAATATTTAAATTCACATTGACAGACACATCCATGCTGTCTGGAAAATTATGTAAACAGCATGTTCCCCCATTTTGCTGTAACTATACTGACTTGTACTGTCTAGCCAACTTTTTCATCCGTTCTTTTAATAAAAAGAGCTCTGCCTTATTTTTATTTTCTTAGTTATTATAAAAATAATTTCCAACCTCTTATTCTAATATAGCCTCTTTTTACCATATTTCTTGTCTACTTACCTTCAAAGTGCCTTCAATATGACTAACAGATTAAAAGAGAGTTTAAAACATCCATTAAAATTTCACAGCGCAGAGAGTTAACATCAGCAATTGCGGACACAATTAACTATGAGAGCTGGTAGATGTTCAGAACACATGGGGAGCCAGAGTTAGAGAAGAAGGGGAAGGACAGAAGGATCGGGGCTGAGGGTCATGGTGGATGGTGTGGAGTAAGGGGAGATACTGCTGAATTTGTTAGAAAACTTTGACTCTGTTCCCTTTGTGCTGCCAATCAGCAGTCTGCCCTAGAACAGATCATCACACTTTTTTCGTAGTTTTTTTTATCTGGTTAGTGAAGAGGTCCACTCAACTCCCTTCTAGCTCTAGAATTTCACGATCTTTGCAAAGATATAACTATGCAGATATGACAGGGTCTTATTAATTAGTTGCCTATTTTGCACTTGGTTCAACTGGTTTTCTGTAATTGTCCACACTCACAACAGGGAAATTCAGAGACAATTTAGTAACAATTATTGAGCATGGCACTGCTGACTACATATTGAGAGAGCACCAATAAATGATTACCTTGAGTTACAGCACTGGTGAAGACAGCATTATATTCAGGAGTGTCTCAGTAAATGATCTGTGATTCAAAATAATGCTATGGGTTAAAGGGCCCCTTCCCAACAGATTACAAAGCATAAATATGTTAACAATGTGGGTCAGTGCTTGAGTTACTTCTCTATTCTTTGAACAGATTGGTAGGCCACGTGTATGTTAAGTGTACTATAATACAGAAAATCAATTACTGCACCCTGCAGTGTATAACAGGGTGAAGCCATTAAACATTTCATCAGGAAATTGCAGAGTACAGCTGTAAAGTTCTTTATTGTTGGAAAGCCATCATTACTATAGTACTTACTAGGTATTTACCACCAGCTTGTAAAACCTACATGGCAAGTTGCATAGTAAGCTCGTTAACACTGAACATTACTGAAACCATTTGGTGGAGGAGACAGTTTAGAGGGTAGTAATGGGGAATAAAAGCCAAATGTTTTCATGGGGAAGACTGCCTGTGTCATCTCTACTGCTGAAATCTGTCCATGATGCTAAAAAGAAAAAAGGTCTCCTGCCTCTATTTTTTTTTTTTTTTTTGAAGAGATATGTCATTCTTTAGCCTTTAACTCTGTTTAAAATACAAGATAAACATAGTCTGATCACATTTTCTTTAAAGGTGTATTTGGAATTACTTGAAAGGCACGGCAGGGAGATGGTGTTCAGATGATAATCCCCAGTGAAATACATCTCCAAAGACAGGATCTGGAACTAAAAGAGAGTGGGCTGAGGAGACAGATGGTGTTTACAACGCATATAGAACCTCAGCATTAACTTTAGAATAGGACTCAAGGCCTTGGTGGAAACCCAAACCAAACTATTTTCCATTGATAAGTATGAATCATTTTCTCTCTCTGTTGCCTGCACTTTTCCACCATCCACACCACTTAAGTGACAGCAAATCTGCCACTGACCTTTTCAAAGCTCTGTGCTGAATCCCTGTCAATTTCTTTCCAGACAGAGCTTTTCGTACATGCCTTCAAGGATCAGCTGGTCAGAAGTGCCCTTTTAGCACTTTACACTGCCAGGCCAGGAGGTGTCCTTAATAAGCCGCCCTCTCCTAAGAACAGCACAGAGGAGAGCAGTTCCCAGGACCCACCCCCGCCGATGAGAAGGCAGGACTCCATACCGCATCATTCGGACTATGATGAGGAAGAGTGGGTAAGTTTTTAATTTTTTTTTTACATAGCCTGCTTCTCCGTGTCTAGTCCTGAAAAGTAAAGCAAGAATGTTAAAAAAAAAAAAAATCTCTGCTTTTTATGAAAACAAGTCGGAAAGCAGTCATAATACAGATTGTGGATAAATAGGTTACATTTTTTCCTCAGGGGCAAATGATAAAATGAAAATTTTATTCCTGATCACATTTAGTTGACGTGAAAACCTATTTGCTATCAAATAGCTTCTATATATAACATATACATTATATATATTTTATATACATATAATGCAGTCAAAGAATAAATATCTCCAAGAAATGTCATCAAAGCAAGGATGCCACAACTGCAAGACTATAATATCAATACTTTTCCTTATTTATTGCCAAGGTAATATAAACCATTAAAATTGTTTTTTAGAAAATGAGTCAGTAATCATCCATAATCTACTCCTTAGATGCAACAAGTATTTTCATTGGTGCAATCCAGCGTGTAAGTTCTGGACACACTTGAAAAAGTGTTAACATTTATATGGCAGTGGACACAAAGATCTCTTAAATTCTTCTTGTTCATGAGTTCTATTATTTTTTAAAAAAAGATGTAGGGCTTCCCTGGTGGCACAGTGGTTGAGAGTCCGCCTGCTGATGCAGGGGACACGGGTTCGTGCCCCGGTCCGGGAGGATCCCACGTGCCATGGAGCGACTGGGCCCGTGAGCCATGGCCGCTGAGCCTGCCGCGTCCGGAGCCTGTGCTCCGCAACGGGAGAGGCCACAACAGTGAGAGGCCCGCGTACGGCAAAAAAAAAAAAAAAAGATGTTGCTCCAGGTGGCTCTAAAATTGGCAGGAGAATGGCCACATAAAAGCATCTGAAAAAATAACTAGCAAAGACACATAAACCAAAGAAGCCAACATGGTGATAGGAACTGTAGATGGGCAGAATAAGACAGGAGAAAATCAAGGTTTCTCTCTCTGGATGAGAGGGAACAGTGTGTTTTTCCTGAATCAATGCATATTAATTATCCAAGAACCTTTTGAAGTGCATGCACATCACACACACACACACACACACACACACACACACACAGAGAGAGAGAGAGAGAGAGAGAGAGAGAGAAGGAAACGCTTTACTGTATCATATGTTAAACCAAGAAAATGCTGTAGTATGCTAGCTGTATTAGATGTTAAATAGTTAACGATTACTTTTCCTGCCACCCTAAATTTAAAAGTGTTTGGGTAGTAAATTATTTGAAAGGCTCAGGCCTCTCAAAAATATTGCTGTCTGAAGCGCTGTGAAGTGATACCTGCTCTTTCTTTTGATAAAATTTCTATCACAAGAAAGACAGAGCTGGGCTCCATGATGTAAATGCTGAATAAGTATTTGTTGTTGCTGATTAAGACTGCATTTCTCCCACTGCATCATTTTCAAAAGAGCAAATCTAATATTTCTTCCTTTTACCGTCACCTACTTCAATTCATAGCTCCAAGGCGTGCATACCTCTTAACCTCTCTGAAGTTCAATTTTTTTTCAACTGTAAAGTGAAAATAACAGCACCTGTTCTGTTTAGCTCTTAGTGTGTTCCTAAGATAAATGATTTACCTGTGTGATAATGCCCCATGACCTGGAAAAGCCCAGGCCAATGCATTGTATTACTTTAGTATTATTGCTGTATGTTTTCTTTTTTAAGATATGTAAATTATATAATCTTATTATGAGGATCAGTACTACTCCTTGAGATAAATGGGGAAAAGGGGTAGATCATAAATTCAGAATGTGAATTTGAAAGAGTTTGGGTAGATATAGAACTTGTATTTCATTTAAATAAACATACAGCAAACTTTTTGACAAATGATGGCCATTTTTTATTAAGTCGAGGGAGAGTTTTGGAACTGGGTATCTTTTGTTTTCATAATTTTCACCTTATTGTGTTATGCAAACACACTCCCACACCTCACCCTCCTCCTGTGGCTCCAGTTGCCCCTCTCCTTCCCTCCCTCCTTTTAGATAACTTTTGAGAACTCCTATATCCACAGGTGCTCCAAAAGGGAATATAAGTCAGATCATTAGGTCCTAGAGCTCAGAGTCTAGTGGTAGATAAAAATATGTTAATAAATAGTTAAAATGTTGTGATAGGGATGGAGAGGGACAGGTGGAAAAAGGTTGACTCTGCTAATGTGACTTCAGATCAACATTTTAAATACAGAAACTTTTTATGATGGGAAAAGAGGGAGAGAGTAGGAAACATGGTGAGTTGAGGTCTATGGTGAGGCATTTGGTGCAGTGGGTGTTACTGAGCCTTGTTCTGCCTGGGTCACTGTGCCGCGTGCTGGGGAAACATAGGTGACCCGCCCATGGCTGCGAGGGCTCCATGACCTATTCAGGGCTCTATAGACACCAATGGCAATGACAGTGCAATTTAGGATTATACACAGGATGAAGTGGGAGTCTGGTGGTCAGGATGGGATCTCCAGAAGTAATTCCTGAGATATAAATGTGAATAGAAGTTAACAGTATGAGAAAGAAGATGAGGTGACCCTTTAGACAGGAACACTTTTAGCTGACATAGGTCGTGTGTGTGTGTGTGTGTGTGTGTGTGTGTGTGTGTGTGTGTGTGTGTTAGTTGCTTACTTGTTTTGTTTTAAAGGTCGTGAAATTGACTGTGTTTATTACTCCAAAGGCCACGTAAGAGGCTAAGAGACTGAGAGGCTATTACTGATAGGACAAGGTCCTTGCAAAGAAGAGAAGATGATCAATTCAAGCAGGCAGGTGGAGGATGAGTCCTGGGCAGAAGTGTGCTCCTCAGCTGAGACTGCAGGGAAGGTGTAAAAATGGATTTTACTTTTGTGAGGGTGCATGGGCCTGGATGGCTTCTTTGTTCTTTGCTTGAAATATTTTTCTCCAGGTTTATTGAGCTAACTGACATATAACACTGCATTAGTGTAAGGTGTACAACAAAATGATTTTATACGTATATATAATCACCACAATATATTTAAACATCCATCACCTCATAGGATTACAATTTTCTTTTCTTAGGATGAAAACTTTGAGACCCGTTCTCTTAGCAATTTTCAAATATACAGTACAGTGTTGTTGACTATAGTCACCATGTTGTACATTACATCCCTAGCACTTATTTATCTCATAACTGGAAGTTTGTACCTTTTGACGCCCTTCACCCATTTTGTCTCCCCCTCCTCAGCTCTGGCAACAACCGATCTATTCTCTGTTTCTATGAGTTTGTATTTTTTTTTTTTTTTTTTTTTTTTTT